CGCGCTTGTTAAACACGCTCCTCTGCGGTCTCGCCTGCACGAAACGCGTGCAGGACACGTAACAATAATCTTTCACTCGTTACGATCGAACAAATAAGAAGCAACGTCTGTCCAACGATTTCCACCTTCATTCTGTAATGTGTTACATAAATTGTTGCGCAACTCTCGCCGCTGAACAAGTTTGCAGGTACTGGAATCCCCGAGCACCGTCAGCATCCGGGACCGGTCGAACTTGTCGATTGGTCCGTCGCCATCGAGCTTCGAAGAAAAAGTGATCCCGATGATTCATTCCTGCGGTGGAATAGAAATTTCCAGGACAAAAACGTCGATTCGGGCTGTTTGATCTAACGTTCTCCACTCTTTATTTTCCTTTACAAATTGTTCGAACAAATTGATGGTGGCGTAGATGTTTATTTCACATATCGAACATAAAAATCTTCGCGAAGCTTGCTAATATTTATAAGTAAGGACAGAAATGTCAACCTATAGCGCGAGCACATTATTCACATTTCTATTCGTGGATTGGGGTTACATACTTTTAAATGTACAGACAAAAAAATTAAACTTGAAATATAATGTTAATTTCACTTCAATCCGAGGAAAGATGTACCAATTAACCCTTGATGAAGAATTCCTAAATTTAAATATTAAAACTTATTACCTTCGGTTTACACACGTCCTAATTACATACGTCTTGATAACTTCTTATCCTATCCTGTTATACAAATCTTACGAACCTGTGTTGCGTGCTGTCAGTGCATATACAAGATGAACACTTCTTCCTAGCTCGCACGTAAGTCACGAAAGCAAAGATACGTGCAGGAAGCTCGAAAGTGGTTATACGCGGAAGCATTGCAGGCATCGTAGATCCAGCAGTAACCTACCTTTATTACCGACGATTTTGTGAGTGCGTTTCCCTTTCCCCAGGCCCAGCGCGTAACGCGAAGGTGCGAGCTATCACGCAGCTGCAGTAAAAGCAAGAAATCGCCTCGGATCCAGGCGCTACCGGACTATAGATTCGCGGCGCAATCATTGTTTTAATAATACCTCGTACACCAGGCCACGAGGCTTCATTCCGCGCCGCTGCCTGGTCGTAATGGTAGCGATCCTTCCCCTTAAAAATATTGAAACTCTTCAACTCTGTCTACGAGGAGCGAACCCTTGAGTGTTTGGGAATTGCGCTATCAGTTTTGGGAATTTCATTAATTCGATGGAGAGTAAAGAAATTAATCGAGCCAATTTTAAGTGGTGTATTCTAAATTATCCAGAAAATTTCAACCTTCTTCGAATGGAGTCAGTTCGAGGTCTGTATTCGACTTAGCATGCAACAGCGGAATGGCGGCAAGAGAATCGGATAAACTTATTACCTTTTCCTTGTCACGTATAATATAGCTTGCGTTTACCTAGATACGATTCTTCTTGTCCCAGCGCCACAAATCTATGTCTTTGGAGAAGTTTGCGTAGAGGCAGAGAACGCAGCCACCAGGAAGACAGTCCCGCGTTTCCGTCTTGTCCCCGCAAAGCGACTGCTATGGAATCGTCGGAGTTATCGTTCAAGCGATGGTAGCCGTTCAACTTTGACCTTTCGAGTATCGCGGTACATTCACCAAACCGCGAACGTTCGACTTCCGCGAGACGTACTGCGCCGCGAATATACAGTGGCGTGCAAAAGTATCGGCGGAATAATGAATTGGACATTAATAAATTGTATTAGGGAATAAGTTGACATCTCTTGATTATTCGACCTGTTGATCTACAATTCTTACTTGCCTCTACTTTTTCACAATCACTACTCTGAACCTTTCCAAGAAATATCTTACCAGCCATAAATCGATATACAAATCAGAACTTCAACAAAAATTCTCTACTTTTTCAAATGAACCTTTGATAAATTTTTGCCGATACTTTTGTCCGCCGTTGTAAACCAGCTGAGTCAGCGCAACAATGCCTCCCACTCTCGTTTTTCACGCTCTGCTTTCGCTACGAGGTGCATTTTTTGGGGGTCGTGATAGAGTACGTCAATCCTGAGAGCAGACTAACGCGTAATCGCAAGAGTAGTGCAGTGCTCTCGACATTTTTTACATTTCGTTCTAGAACAAGCTAATATTTGTATGGCATACTTTCTCGAATAGGGCAGGTTTCGTCAATATTTCGAACAAAATTTACTTGTTATTCGCGGAAATTTGAAATGTTCTGCCTTTACTCCCTCGATTAAAATATGCGCAGAAGTCAATCAGGTTTCTTCCACAGTCGAGCTGAAAGTGACTGAATCATTTATCCGCAGACGTATGCGGAACACGATACGCGCGATCGATCTGATCGCTGAAAATTAAAACGGTCGACGCGAGACGTATCTGCCGTTTCTCGAGCGTCGTTTCCGCGAACGATAATGGACCACTCGTCACATGCAACTCGCAATGGTGGCATTGCTCCCCTGAAATATTGAATTCGAAACATATCTATCTTGCGGAAGAAACATTAAATCGTTCATGCAATAATTTGTGAATAAAAAATGATCAACAAAAGCATTAAGATGCTGTTATAATCGACACATTAAGGAAGAAAAACAATGCTTGAAGTAAATTCCAAAGTGTTTCCAAAGAATACTTGCGAATAGTCGCAATAAAAATGCAATGAAATCAATTAGGACGTGCCACAACAATCGCTAACTCCATCCAAGTACATGCCGTTTCTCGATCGTCGTTACCAATGATAATGAGCCACTCGTTTCGCGCAACCCGTTGTGAACACGTTCGGTTCGATTCTATTTTCGCGCGGTGCATCGCGTCGAATAAACGCAGAGGCGTGTTGCATCGACGATGAAGAATTTCATTACATCACACGAGGCGAAGTCTACGGTAGAATCAGTCGTCAGCAACGACTCGAACGATTCTCGTGAGGAAAAATCTGTTTACGTTTCCGCGCAGTTCAGTTTCAGTTTCGAGTTCAGCGACCTCTGTTATACGCCATAGATATCGTCGCGAAGATATTGCTTCGAGACGAGACGTCGTAGGTGTTTACTTCGATACACAATCGAAGCGAATCTACGCGGAGAATATACGCTCCCGCAGGAAATGTCGCCGCGAAGAGGAAGTTAAACAGTGAAATCCTATAGGCGTGAGTGTCTGTACTCTTGTTCTTTAATGACACAAAGTTGAGGAAACTGCTCTTACTCGGTATACAATCGATGGTTTGTTTGGCGAGGTATTTTATCTAGCTTTTGGAGGGGTGGAAAGTTGACTAGGATGGTTCAATTGAGGCCATCAGGAGTGGAGCTCTTTTGGACATATGAAGAATTTAATGCAGTTTAAATTTAATGCTAAAATAAACAAGGTAAAGTACTCGAGCGTATGAATCTACAACGTACAATTTTATATAGTGAAGTCCATAGAATTTGTTAACGTGGTGAAGTTTGAGAATTTTTTCTGATGGCACTGAATGTTTAATATTAATATTTGATAGATAAATTATGAGTGCATACTTTAGAGAATATTTCTGTTAAATTTTGTCAATATTTATCTTATTTTTTAAAAGTTCTCGTTTTATTGAATTTTGACTTATCTTATCTAATGGCACCAAGGAACACACGTTGATATCACATATAATATGTCAACAAAAATAAATCCCATTTAAGCTTTCTTGAAAATCGATAAGTGGCACGTTATCTTCATGATCAATATGGAATGTATAGGAAATTTCGTGCCATACCAGGCATTTATGTTACTTGTGTGTATACTAGGACGTGTCAACAAAACAGTTATTAACTTGAACAAAAAAGAAATACATGTACCTACTAGAATTTTCAATTCCTTTAATGTGCATTGCGAGAGCATTACAGGTGATACATTGTTTCGTTCACATTAAACAATGCACAAATTTCTGCCTCCGTATAGGCACTGACCTCGACATAACAAGCGTGTTTGATACTGACGAATCAAAACAATTACACAATTCAACGTTTCTTAACCGCAGTCGCAGCTTAAACTGTGCATCGAATAAAAATAAATATACAAACACATTCAATAAAGATAAATTAAATACTTTCATTTTGCCAAGTACATGTTTCTGGTTTTAATAACAAAATACTGCAACAGAAGGATACCAAACAAACTTCCAATTGGAGGACTACTGTCACGTCATAAGATAAATATTGACGCAATGTGTAGCGTTGAAATTTCACAGTATACATATTATTACTTACAAAATATTCAGAGATTATTCTGCTCGATAACGTGAATGTTCAACATGTTTAGAAAAGTAAAAGCTACTGACTTATCACGAGAGCACAATTATACGTTCTAGGAAAGGAGTAGTTATCAATATTTGTTTCTAAAGAAAGAAATGTAATATATACGTTTCACTTATATTTTCAATAAATCACAAGTCTCTATCAGCAGTTGAGGATTAATAATGCATAACAAACATACACTTCTCAATAAAATCAAAGAAACACTCTACAAAACACTTTCAAAAATGACAAACTTTGGAAATGTTCTTAACCTTTCCACGCCATACCTTCTACTCCTGAATGATCATACTAAGAATACTTAAAACCATACAAACAAAGTTCTCATAAAACTTCCAAATTCGATTAAGCCAAACTCGATGTCCTCGCCATTGATAAATCTCCCTGTCCGCGGCCACGTAATTCTAATACCTCCGAGTACATACATTTTAATTTCGTTGCGTACATCCCACGTACGGTTTACCACATCTGCGGTGGCCCAGCTCGCGGCCTCTGCAAAAGGCAACGTGCCTGCGACCTTGAGCGTAGACGTCCTCGACATTCTATCAGGATGGGAACACAGAGGTGGCAGCGACGGGGAACGCGATTGGCTCAGGCGGGTAGCTCGCAGATCGCTGGCCAGCTCAGGTCGACTCTGTCAACGCACAGCCGTTGCTCTGTCGTGATCGTCTCCCGAACCGTTGCGTATATTCGCGGCTGTTTACACGTGACTCGCAGCGTCTGGTCGCGATTCGCGATTCGTGTCACGCGCTGCTCACCAGTCAGCGCGGAGAAATGCTGGGAATACTGGGAAAGGTGCTCGCAGAGGCAACGGTACACCGACAGCCAGTGTCTTGTGATTAGGGGACCAACGAGCGTGGACTTCGACGAGCAGGATCGAGGAGCGGCGCACGGATAGTGTCCTGGAATCAGGTGAAGCTTGGATGGACCCCGATCAGGTCGATACAGTGTCGGGATGACGGTTGGTCGATCGTGCAAGCGTTCTCCAGTGTCGTAAAGCAACCTGGAGTGTCTGCTTGGACGACTAGGCGTTGGAACCCTCTGCTTGTCCAGGAGTACCGTGAATGGTGAGCTTGGACCGTTGACAAATCACCACCTGCATCTTAAACGCATCTTCGCGAGTTCGTGGACCTGGACAGTTGGATGTGTGGTGGTAGCTTTCGAAGGGGAAGGAATGGTGAGTCCTGGGACGGTCCTGAAGAGTGTTTTTTATTTTTTGTGGTGGCTGTCTGGTGATGTTCAGAAGATTGTGGTGATTGGCTGAAGGTAGAAGTCTTTGAATTGGGTTCTTGAAGACCTGAGAATGTAGGGGGCAGTTTTGTCGACGGTGATGGTGACTTTTTATACAAATGATTTATATAGAAAAAAGTTGAAATCACAGCGAGGACTATCTTCTGACTTGTTTTAGTGCTAGTGCAAATTGCAGTATGCATTAGTGTTTAAATGGTATCATGCATTTTTTGACGTAAATCGATCCTTCTTTCCAAGAGTGTTAAGATGTGACTACTGAAAACATTTCGTACTTTCTGTTTGCACTCATCGATTCAATCTTCATACCAATCACTGGTGACTGCGATTATTCTTCATTGTCCCAAAAAATGATATCATCGAATGATTTAACTTTTACCTTTATATTGATTGTTTATATCTTCGGCTTAAAAGGAGTCCAAGCTGGTACTAGTGTTTGGAATCACCCTGTACACCTTGAATCGCAGTGCCTGGAGGTTAGAGCATCTGCATACAGCAACTTTACATTGCAGGAGGTTACTTTAAATTACGGAATATTTATTATCGCCAGATTGTTGGCTGTTGCAACACTTGCGTGTTTGTTAACCGATTCTCTTCCCGAGACTCGAGTAGGGGAACGAACGTCAAACCGAATGTGTGCAAATACTTGTAGGACGTGACCGAAATTAACAGTCCCGGCATGATAGTACGTTTCACTTCTTTAAATGCTTCGCTAATATGTTTTGACGCACGCTTGGACGCTCAAGTATAGTCGTTGAGGCAAACATAGCGATCTACTTAAGTCAGTTTCGCGAGGTTAAGCGATATCTTTGTTGGGTACACGCCATTTATTGGCGACAGGTGCTTGTTGAACTTGAAATGGGTTTGTGCGTTCGTTTTTATTGTTGACAGCTGAGGCATTTGAAGTTTTAACGCTCGAAATGATATAGATTCAGGATTGGTTTGAATTTTCTATGAATTTTTCAGTGAAATTGATTAAATTGATAGTCGTCAAACTTTGTGGATGGGAAAACGTAAATGGCCAACAGAAGCATTATTTAAATAATACTGTAGTATTTTAAACCTTTGATTCTGATTTACAGTATAAGAAAATTGTAAAAAAGAGTAGTGATAAAAGTAGTCACTTATTTAAAAGTACGAATAATCCACGTAGTACTCCACTCATTATTAAAATGGTTGAAAAGCAGAGATTCTATAATAAAAATGACAATACATACGAATGGTACGTTACATGTTCTATAAGCTTTAATAAACCATCGAAGTATCGATAAAGTTTGTACAAAAATTATTATTCAGGTTACCACTGAATTACAAAAGCAGCCCTCTGTTACCAAGATCCTTTCTTGCGTCACCGGTTGACGAAAACTCGAGGCACACACGGAAAATTAATAATACGTCGAACGAATGGGTGTCCTTCGGAGATGAAAGTGGTTGCCCTCTCCAACGGGTTACGTTCAAACAGGTAATTTGGTATCTTCGAATTCGTTTGGCTTGGCCTTGACATTGAGGCGTGCAGAGTCGTTCCATAGACGAATTACACAAGCCGAAGCCACAACGTAGCGAGTACAAGATTTCTGAATAGCTTTCGACGGAACGCAAGTCTCGTTCCACGTAGAATATACGCGATAGTATCCTCGCATGACCGTGAACTTTATTCGGTACGAGCGATCCCCGTGGAACGGACCAGTCTTCAGCCACCGCTCGTTTCCAGATGATTCATCGCGCCATTTCCTTCTCTCTCGAATCCGTCCCGAATGAAACATGTACCTCAAAGACTCTGGGTTGAATTTATTTTGAGGATTTGTATGTCATGTGCTCGAGAATCCGTTCTTATTAATATGTAAGAGCGAGTGAAACACTGCAACGATCGCGCGGACAGTGATTTATATAGTCGACAAGAACGTTTTCGGCTTTTCTGCCCACTTCGAGCAGAGGTGGGCAGCATTCGTAGCTGGATACGAATTTCGAATGGAAGGGGGAAAGATAAACTGGCTGAATTATAAAATGAAGTTTTATTCCATGCTGAGTGAGGAGAAGTTCGTCTGAGTAAACGGTTGAAAATTGTTATACAGTGACTCTATTTATCATCTGTTATTTGAGTAAAATTTTGTCCACCTTTGTTTTTAGGCGTAAGTACAAATAAAAGTAATATAATGTTGGTCAATGCTTGTCAAAAAAGTGAGGAAGATCGTGTCAATAATCAAAAAATGTATAGTACTTCCTTAATTGAAAACGATAAGGTTTATTATTGGTATATCTGCTGAAGGAAACAAACTGAGACGCTGTCTTAAATCGAACAAAAAATTTTATATTTTTCCTGCAGTGTTTATATTTTGCTCTTAGATGTCAATAAGCAGAGATTATATGCTTCCTGAGTATATCAGTTATTTATAAACCGACAAACAACAAGGTCCATCGGATACTAATTCGTATCATATAGGATTTGTATTTTAAGAACGAAATTATCTGAAAAGTGATAACCCTTTGAGATTTGACGCTTTAACAATCGTCGATTGTGCAAATCTAGCTTCTATTCGAATTCGAACGTCTGCAAGCGTTTACTGGATGCACTGCTTTGATCATCGTAGCACTTAATAACACCAAAGGGTTAAACAAACTTTGAAGATAGCAGAGAAAGTAAACTTTATACTTTTAAAATCGATCGAAACATCATGAATAATAATAAACGTCTGTGTCATCGGAGATGGCCAAATAGAAGAGGAAACAAAAGTATACTAAAATCCCTTGAATTAATAAAATTAAAGATTCCTTAGTTTATTAGAATAATCTTAAAGGACTGCTCGAGTCGATTCGAGATAATAGCAAAGTTTTTTTCTCCTAGACGTTTGACTGAAACGGCAAATATTTTTAACACCGTCGATATTTTCAACGGTCGACGTCAGACCCGTGGACGAAGGAAGTTTTTCGGTAGACAAAGAATTTCGCGAACACTCCCATTTTCGTAAGTCGCAGCCGGCCACGCATAACAACGAACGTGTTTGTTCCTTTGCGATGCAAGTCTTGCGCCGCAATAATGTATGGATGCACTTATAATAACAGTCGGTCGTTTCTCTAATTGCACCGTATTTGCAAGTGAAATCGCGTGTATCGACGCAGGGTAGCTGGGATTAAAAACAGCTCCGACACGCAGTACTGTTGATGTCGACTCGAACAACCTGAACTGTTTTTTTTTCAAACAAATTAAATGCACGAAGACAGATAGTACATAGTTTCTATTTTTATTTATGATTTATTTTTGGAATCTTCTAAATTCGCCATCAACTGGGGACTGAATTTAATCATTTTTCTGTCTCGAGGATTTGGTTTCTGAATTTACAAAATTGAAAAACCACATGCATGAAGCGAGCATCACTTTGTTAGGTTGGAATATAAGCAAATCCTCGCAATCAATTAACTCGTAAACACACATGTGTTCGTGCTAAACAAGCAAGGTATTTTACTGACGTTTGAAAAATAACAGTTAGCGAAAAGGTAAACTGTTTGCAGTGTGCGCTGCATGTGTCACGTATCCACGATTAAACACTGGAAGCTTACGTGCATATAACTGGGTTAATGGAACTGTACTTTCCTCCATTTGTCGAGACACTTTCACCAACGAGCTGCAACGCATTCAAGTCTAGTTGTTTGAATTGTATTATTTTGCCACTGACCGATGCTTCTTGGCCGAAAATGTCACGTGTTTTAAATTGTAAAAGTGGTAGGCAAAAGTTTTATCTGGATAATAAAAATAAAAACTTTTACGAATTAAATATTTCATACTAAACAGGTAAATAAAGAATTCATTGATGGAATAACGTTTGATTCGTCATCGATCGATAAAAAAAGTTTTGCCAATAGATGGTCAATAGATGGCCATTAGATGGCCATTACAATTTGTATTTCGAAATGACTCATGACTTGCAGTATCACACACGAGAAGGATACGTTCACTTCTGTCGACCAGTGCCTCACGTTTTTGTTCCATCGAGAAAGTGAATGTTGATCTTCCATCTTATGTAATGAGTTACACCTCAGATATTACGTCTTTATGTACTTCTTACGTATTGGAAAGAGTCTTTCTCTTATCACACTCATTATGTCACTGCTGTGTCATTACTGTTGACAATAAATTCTAGTAATAATATTCACAATTATTGGAGAGTATTTCAGTAAGAATAGAAATAGAATATAATAGAAATAAAGAGATTCAAAAAATGAAAGTTCCCCTGCATCTACCTCCATTTCGACGCTATATTATACCATAAACCTAATGTTGCTCGTAATCTCCACTTGCAGATTAACAACCTCAAAAGCCAGAAGCAGGGCTAATCCTAGAACAATGAACCCTCGTCCATTCACCACGAGGAGCACTCAAGTCTACCAGATCTAGATCCCCCAATACGTTCCTGGAAACATGTTGCCATCCTCGAAATTGCTGCACGAGGGTCCGGCAGGACCTGTCAACGAGAACACCGCGTCCAGAGATCCGTCGAACCGACCAACGACTACGAGCGTCATGGACGCGACGAATAGAAACGACGACGATCCACCGCCGTACACGGCGATCGCGCCGCCAAATCACGTCGGCTGGCTGTTCGACTTTTCCGGTATTCCGTATTCCGCGTGCACCACGACGTCCTGCAGAGCTGAGGCTGCTCCGTTGGCGCCCTTCCAAGCGACCCTGACGTCAGCCTCTGCTTTCCATCCCGAGGGAACTGACGGTCAGCACACGTCAATCTCCGTGCCTTTAATGCCTCGCAGACTGTTCAAGTTCGGCTCCCACAGATCTGTGTTCATGAACCGGGCCATCCCGATGTCGGACGACATCTCCGTGAGCAAGGACACTCATGGAAGGACGCGCAGTAAGTTGTACTTCCATCGATGCCGACGAGGAGCGTCGTTGGGAGTAATTAGAGTGCGATTCGGTGATTCCCTTTCGATGTTACAGGTGACTATGTCACGTTCATTGTTATTCTAACAGCAGAGATTATAATCGTCCATCACCTCATGCTCACTGTTATCCTAGCAGTAATTATAGTCGTTCATCATCTTACTTTCGGTGTGGTCCAACCAGTGACTGTAATCACCCTTGATTTCAAACTATTAGATTTTTGATTTCGGTGTATCCTACTTGTGACTATATTCACTCGTCGCATTACGCTTGCTGTCATCCTACCAGTGACTATAATCACCCGTAACCTGACAGTCAGTGGTTCGACTCGCAGAAGTCGATTGATTAGACAGACTGTGTCAAAAGACGTGAGGTACGTTCGAGTTCCATTTGGATCTATTATAGTCTGAAAAATTCATACAAATACGCGCCCTGATCGGACTATGTCTGGAGTTATAAGCCATAACTTGCAGTTTCGATCAACTACCTATTCAAATGAGCCAATTACTATTCTAGGTATTTCTTGAATTCTTTAGCAGCATTTTAGTATACTTCACCCAAGTTGATTGGTAAATAAATGAATGTCGTTAAGTGGATTCAAGAATGAAACTCCAGCACGAGCAGGTCAACCCTATTTATTAGTTGGATAAACTTTAGTTCACGAGCTGTCTGATTAATCGACAGAAACGTGGCAGTACGCTGCCATGCGTGCAATCACTCGCACAGCATTTAATGGAACTGCTTCCAATAACTCAAGCAATTGATTACTCAAGAAATTCTCATAAGGTTGACCTACTAATCTCCCATGAAGGAAAACAGGTCCGATTGCGCTATCGTCAATTACCCCTTCCCATATAGTATTATAAATGTTATGAAAATGTATCGTTCTCCCTCTGCTCTTAATCAATCGTTGATATGCGTTCTATGCGTTGAGATACATTGTGTACAATGTAATACTAGCTTGATATGGAGTACGAGTATAATTTTGTCGCTAAGGCATTACGTTAGGAACATAGGTAGCAATTTATTCTCATATGTACACACATAATGTTAAACATTTGGAAATTAGGTTTTCACCACCTTGTTTATGATTCCCTTCATATATTAGAAGCGAAGTAATTGTATCTTTACGCATGGATTTTCTGAACAAGAGCGCAACCAGCTCACGATGATGTTTTATTCTCTTTTGAACTATGAAGTCATCGTCTCAATGACATGTGAACATTCATTATGAGGAACGATATTGTTCCTCCTCAAGTAGTAATCTCAAGTTCTTCTCCTAATCACTTTTACTTCGGCTGAAAAATGAATTTTTATAAATGCTTCGTCTATCCAGCTTCAAAGGATCAAGCATAGCCATTATCGTCACGTATTGTAAAATACCTTCGAATCTATTTTGAAGTCAGCCGATGGAGCAAGTATGATGGCTGCTCGTTCCAACCAGCAGAGTCGTGCACGGCCTAGGAACGACTCCGGAGGCTTGTCCTTTCGCTCGCTGAATGTAATTAATGTCCGATGGTGGCTTTCGTGGATTTAAAAGATTTCCTGGGATCTTTTCATCTCTCGCCTTGACAACGTCGCCCGTGGCGACGATGCTGTCGAACGGTTTGCGTTCCCCGCGAGTGGGTTGGGCTGATCGCGTAATCATCTTGGGACTGTCGTCCGAGAGTCATTCCAGATTGCACTTGTAAGCGAGCGACGCGTTGACCACCCAGACGATTTCTTACAACTTTCCTTCGAGGCAGTGGTTCTTCACCTTTGGACATTCGTGACACAGATTGCGACAGTAATGATTAATTAATGACGCTAGTATGATACATGAATCTGAAATGTATTGGAATGCTGAAAATTGTATAGTGAATTATTATTTAATTGAATTCTGTCTTCATTTGTCTTATTGTTTCACATTTGTTTCATTTTACTACATTTTTAATTCGTAACATACACTCATAACAGCTGGGCAATTGTAAGTGCAATTTTCTAAAGAAAATTGTGAATGATGTAAAACGCAATAGAATCGCTTTAGATAATTTCAGTTCATATAAATGCTTGTAAAGATTAATTAATGATATCTGCTTGTGAAGGCAATTCTTCATCTTCTTGAGCTCGTGTCATAGTTTAGAGAAATTGTACTTGAAAATCATGAATAATTCTAGTAGGAATTTCAAAAACTCTACAAGAAATTTATTACAGTAGTCGAACATTCATACCACATTAAGAATCACTGTAAAAATTCTCTTTAAACACGGTTACCTAACTCTATCAAATGTTTATCTACTACCTGAAAGCGCATATATTAACCTATGAATCTACCAAACTTTCAAAAATTGTCCAAATATTCTGACTTCCTCAACTACATTTAACTAAATCCAACTTTTATTTTATCGAACTTGGAGTCGTACCATAAAAGATTCTATTCTATGTTGTGCATGTTTTTTTTTTTAAATAAAAGTATCCTTTGCCAACTCTGCAATTACTCTCGCAATCAGTCTGCGATCGTCACCGAGTAATTATTTTTAATTGCATCGAAAATGTACAGACATATTCGCGCGTCGCGTTGAATTGTTTATTCATTCCGCAATTCGTAGAATCGGTTGCCGCTTGTTCGGGATTTCATTCTTGGAATCGTTTCATGGTAACGGGGACAACACAGAATAAATTGGTTTGAATGCAAAGTGCAACGAAAAGCGTAGTAGCAACGCAGCCTGGCACATTTGACAAAATTTTCCATCGGTCGGAGCGGGCGTAACAGGAGATAACGAGATCTTTAACGCTCAGTTTTCATCCGTTCTGTAATTCGACGGGCGAAAAATTCATTACCATAAATTTTTCATTATAATTGCTCGCTGTAACACGACCAGTTCGTTTCATGGTAGAGTTTTTTAGGGGTAGAAATATCTGCCTTTCTCTCCGTTTTCCAGTCTATCTTCATGATTCACCTGTAAATAGCATTTGCTGTTTTGGAAAATAAGCACAAGATCTCGATGGCTACGAATTTCTCATCAAATTCCATTGCAAATCAAAGATATTTTGATACATTAGTGCATTTCTGAATTATCAAAGCAATAGAAAAATACTTTTTCATTCGACATAAAACTTGTCAATATTTCTTTTGAATACATGCACTACGTATTTATTAATCATTCCAAACATTAAATAATTCTTAAACTCGCCTTAGATCTCATCAAATTTCTTGATGAAACACAAGTTGAACATGGTTTATCAATTACGCGAGAATCAAAAATAGAAACGCATACATGTAGTTGGACATTGGAAGTTAAATATTTGAATATTCGTTTGCAGGATACGGTGCTATACTCGTGGCGGCGGCTGTGATCATTTTCCTGATGGTTCTGTCGTTGCTGGTGCGATTCGTCATGGAGAAAAGCTTCTGGCGAGGTTAGTCGCGGATCTCCTTGCAACCGGAAGGTCGCCGAGATGTCGCACTTGTGATGCAACGAACGCTTTCCACCGTCCTCGATACAGACTGACTCTAGAGTAAGCGTTATCACGGTATAATTCCTCTCGCGCTGGCGCAATCGCGGGTGCAATTAGAGCGTGATTGCTCTCCCTTTTTGCCCTGAAACGAAACGACAGGGGAATTCGCGAGTTGTACATTCCTGTAGCCGATAAGTGCATTGTTAAGTGTCCATAACATTTCGCGGAACGACGCATTTCAGCCTTAGTAGAGTAGCTAGTGTTGCTATAGCTTGTACAGATCGTTTTTTATTGCCGTTAAACTTAACATTTTTATAATGTAAACGTAGATTTTTATTCTACTGGAGTATCTATATAGAAAATGTGGATCGATTTTTACCGTGCTAATCAAACCACTTATTCGATGGATAATCTGAATTCTTCTTTTTTTAATTTTGCGAAGAATTTCGTTGTGATAGTTTATTGAAAATTAAGAATAGGGTGCATTATTTCACTTTATTTTGTGAAAACGAAGTGAAAGATCAGTGATTGTGATAATCTCGTGAGATTGCCAATGTATGTATTAACAATCATCGATCGTATGAATGTTATTTACGAAGTGTATACATTTTACACTAAAGATATCATATTGTTAATTTCTCACGTAAAAAGAAATGTACTGAAATAAACAAAAATTTATTCTGTATCTCATTTATCACTGTGCATCGTACAAAGAAGCCTCTACAGAAGTGCGTGAAGAATCAGAGGAATAAATTTAAGTAAATATAGTATGTTTTTTTTTTTAGTCGTCGAAACAGGATGCATCGATGGCTATAAATTCTCCTGAAGCATATTTTTCATCTGCTACGCCAGGTTCGCTGAATATTTAGTGTTAATTTTACAAAAAAATATTGAATTATTTTCCTCTTCCATTGAACGGTGAGTCAATTTACTGTCTCTTGTACATTCGTCATTTATTATGGATCGTTTAGACTGTTTAGCTGAAGAGTATTCGTTTTTTTCGCTTTTCACAGGCAATAAACTTGTTGGAATGGTGACTCAATCTCGAGGAACAGAAGTACATAGAAACCGTTACCACGGAGCGCAAAGATAATAGACAATCCTCAAGAATCAGTTCAAGACACCAAAAGATAAAAGCACAAGCAATACTGTTCCGAAGATATCATAGAAATTGGATACGTTTCCAGGAAATGCAGAAACACGTTGGAGACAGCGTCAACATACTGCAATTAGGTGTCACCTGACAGACACTGCTCTCAATCAACCACATGAGCAATTAAAAATACCTAACTGATGACGTAAGGATCGTTAACTCAAGTAGAACACAGCAATTGTGTAGACACTGTTTCATCACTCGAGATTCAGTTTGCACCTGGGACGTCGATCGTCGGAGCCTTGAAACCCCGATTCTTGCCACAAGGCGTTAAAATGACAGAGCCTCGTCGCACCCGCGGCAAACTACAGCAGGACGAATCACCTTTGTATCGTTGCACGAGAACACGAAGAATAAACACTCCTGTTGATTCAATATTGCGTTTGCGGAAAGAGCCGACAGCGTACTTAGGCGAGCAAACGTGTGCGTGTTGACTTTTAGACGCGGCTTGGCCTTCTTCAAACGACTGTTTTATTCCACTTGAAATTCCGCCTCCTTCGGAACGCCATTGCGCTGCGACGCGACGCGAATCAATTTTTCGAGAACTGATCGAACGGTTTCCTTCTGTCCTGTTGTTTTCCGCGCGATTCCATTCCGTGTAAATGGAACCCTTTCTGCTCGCCAAACGCCACGGAAATGGTACTCGTTTCGTGTTCTTTTTTTTGTCAGATTTACCTTCGAGCATTTCACTTACTTTATTTCCTTTCGCGAGTTAATCTTTGTATGAGCAAACATTTTTTTCCCTCACGAAACATGCAATAAGATATTTGCACTTGAGTTAATGTCATTGATTACATGTGATAGTAATCAAAATTTGTTCGATCCTGCACTGCAATTATATTTTTTACCACAGTGACACGATAACGATTGCAGTACGTGACTGCGTACATTAGCATTGTTACTCTTGAAGCAAACAGGCGAGAATTAATCGAGTGACAATCGTTCGCTGTTCAAAGGCGACCATTTAGGATAATAATTGCTTTATAATGCCAGCTTTTAGATGTATGTATAGTATTCGATTCAGGTGCAACGCAAGTGTGCCCCTAATTGCCTGTACGTCAATTCAGCTCATATTTCTCAGTATGTGTGTGTATATATTCGTAGTATTTACTGGTTTATTCATTCAGAAAGATTCGAAAAAATAGACGGCGACATGATGAAACACTGATATATGCAGATATATGAATTCAAGTATAAGAATTAAAAACATAATAATACTTCTAACAATAAAGTAGGTTCCACTCTTCCTTGAACTTCAAATAAGTAACACCTGTCACTTCCCAGTTTCAATCTTTAAATAATTTGTATAAAGTACAACAGGTGTAATATAAATATAAATATTTGTTTATACTGATAATAGCATTTGCCTTCTGTAAAACATTTCAGAGAAAAAGACCTCACAAGGTGGACCAGCTTCAGGTCCCGAAAGATCCAGAGCCTCCACTGTCCGGATCCTAGTACACGTTTCTGTTCCAGTGGTATTATAACTTTAATCATGATTAACAGTTTTATACGGTCATTGTCAAGCCTAACTCTGATAAAGTCAGTTTCACATCGTTGTCCAAACAGTCGGCGCGCATCCCTCAGGTTCCAAGCAACGCGCCACCGGGGAAATTAGCCGGCAAAATAATTCATGGGACGGAGCTTTTATTCGACGTCCACGTGCTGTCTGATATTACCAGGGAGATAGACAGAGAGGTACACGGTCGTGTAAACAAATGCGCTGGAAAATTGTTGATTCGCGCTAAGTACCCTCTGGAGCCTCTATCGTTTTGCGAATACTGGAAACAGTGTCGCGGACGTGGCGGAGAGGAGGGGGAAGTGAAAATATTATTGATGCAACTGCATTGTTAACGCGTTCGCCGCGGTGACGTTTTTCAGGGACCTCTATATCCAATGACAGGAGGCAGACACACTTTGTTAGAGGCTCTTGTGTGAAGCAGTGTGGAGAAAATGGGACGGTTGACTTTTTAGGTAGACTCTGTGTAAATTTGAATAGAAGTGTACCATTTTAATAATCAGTATTAGAATTCACGTATATAAATGTAGGAGTCTAACCGAAAAATAAGACACGGGGATTCGAATCCACGATCCTCGGATCCACAGTCGACCGCTTTACCTACGCGACCAATCCCGTACCCTACGTTTCGTGTTTTTATTTGACTCCTTATTGTTGGGTATGGGAGGCGCGGACACTACATAAATAATTTCCATTCTTCGGTCTTCTAAGCCACAAGTACGGTCAATCCCATAAATATTCGTACACTCTATGTCTCTTGAAGAAGTTTGACTAAATTAAATAAATGTTTTGATGTTACCAAATGAATTTTTTATTATGAATATGTATACGAATAAGCTTATACATGTATATGTTTATATATACATCAACATATTTATATAACGATACCCTTGGAAACATCAAATATACCATTTAATTTAAACAAATTTCTTCAATAGCCATAGAGGGTACGAATATTTATGGGACCGTATGTATCCATTTTCAGCGACCACGAGCGAACAAAAAGTAATAAAATAATCTAAAAAATAAATAACGAAACTAATCCATACCAGATCCATCTCCCTTAAACCCAAGAGAAATTCAGCTCATCGCGATTGAAGAAAACATGTAATTCCCAGAAATACCAGGCTTCGGTGTCACGTAAAGCGTATCTTAGAAGTTTCCGAGGGCAGGGAACCCTCTGGCGCAAATTAAAAGAAAATTCCAGGAGCGGGATTCTCTTTTCTCAGCTATTACCGCAAACCGCGGACGCTAACTTTCTTCTTTTTCAATTCTTTACGTTGCGAGCACATTCGAGTACAGCCGTTTCAAATTAAAGTTTAAATTGCGTAAACTCCGGGAGGAACAAGCGTCTGCTTGAAAAAATAAATGCCAGAACGAAATGAGTTGGTCGCCTTAAGAAAACGAGACGGACGAGACGAGGGGCGCACGTGAGAAGGTTAGGTGGCTGTCAGCGGGTTCCGGGTAGTTAATTATCTTACATGAAAGGAACCTCTGCCCTTTCGGCGCCCTGCTCAGCCCCTGGGTGCCGTTGAGACCTTCGTCGTCTCGTCCAGCTAACCTTGAACCACCCAACTTCGTCTTCGTCACCTGTAAAGGGGGGGGGGTGGGAGGGGGCACACGATCCCGCGGCCCGACGAACAAGTCGCGTTCTCACTCCCCGAACGCCTGTCCGTTGAATGAGAAAGGGGTAAATGGGAAATCTGCTGGTGAAACGTTCCTATTCGTATTAATTCCCTGCCCGCTGCAACGCGTGGGCATTTCCTTTCACACGGGCAGTTCCGCGGCGAATCAACGTTTCAATTAATTTTCAATCAACGTTTCTTAACGCGAACGCATCGATTTCAAAACTCACCGTCCGTTTCGTCCGCGCTATTCCGGTATTTTATTACTCCCCCATTACGCGCGGATTACGCGATATTTCTTTGTTTCGTTCGTCCGCAACGTTCGAGTACCTCTCGCGCAATTCACGGTTCCCCTTTTCGCGGTATTTTTACACAGCTGTCCGATATTTTATCACGCCCGAGGCATTTTTCAGCACGTCGGGGGCGACGCTCCTTGTTAGCGGTATCGCATTTTCGGATTTTATTAATTTTCATACGCCGCCGACGAAACGAATAAATTGATACGCGACGGAATATGCCAATTAAAATATCGGTTCGATCAAAAATTCCGCGGCTGTGGGGGCTCGCGTCGAATTTTTTATTTTCTTGCCCGGGAACGGGAGTGCTTCCGTTTCGTGTAAAAAACCAAAGAACGAGTGTCATACGTCGTGAAAATGGCACGACAAACAGCGGTCCCTGTTCTTCGGGTGATTTATCGACGAAGTTGTTTGAAGCGAAACATGAATTCCCGATTGTGCAACAATGATTCATGGCGATATAAAGCGCGCGCAATAAAATCGTGTAGAAGTTTTGAGGGGGGTAGGGGAGTGGGGGGAGTGGAAAATCGGGGCGAAAAGGCAGTTCGCTGAAACTGCCGTGTCGTTACGCGATGCTGGTGGAATCGAATGCAGTCCGCGGTGGGTTACCCTTTTTATTTGCTCGAAATGTACGTAACCGCGTCGAGACTGACGTCGATTAAAAGAGAGATTCGTCATCGCGGCGTTTCGAGTTTGCTGCACGAGAGATTTCTTGGAAAGGTGAAACTACGAAGGAGATGGTAGTTATTTTTAACTCGTTGTTTAATTTTAGAGAGCATCGCAAACATCCTGCGCGAGAGGAAAACGAAATTTTGGGTTTTATTAGGGAGCATTCGAGGTACAATCGATATGAAATCTAGCTAAGAAGGAAATAAAAAAAGAAAACTTCGTGAAATAAGATTGCAATAGGATCAAAGCATTTAATGAAATAAATAAATGCATTACAAAATCATGTATGAAAATAAGGACTTTTTGAGCGTGTCCACGAGTGCTGACCAGTGGCCAGTGGTAGTCAGTGTTAGCCAGCAGCGGACATTCTACTTATTAATTACTACGATTTAGATATAGATTGGACTCTTAGGCGTGTGTTCA